AGGGGGCGCCTAATGCGGGGGTGGAGGGATGATATTCAATTCCGAGGGGTCATGGTTTAAGAGAGAACACGGTGTCAGCCCAAATTTTGGGTTGATGTAGGCACATATCGACGGTGAAACTTCCTACACTGAAAAAAAAAGTTCGGTAAATCCCAACCAGTTAGGATCATATGGAACCAGGTTTTGTTCGGTGCACACAACCGAATTATTCGGTCTGTTCAACCATATTGTTCGGTTCGTGTGACCGAACCTTAATAAATTCTTACAGTTCGGTTCAGTGGACCGAACAGTTCGGCTGAGCAGACCTAATAATTCGGTCGTATGTACCGAGCAAAATCGTGGTTCCATATGATCCCAACTAGTTCGGATTTACCAAACTTTTTTTTTCAGTGTAACTACGTATCACGGTTTGCGACATTGCAGACTTCCTGTCATACTTTATTCTGTCGAATCGAAAACCACTAGACGTCAATGCTGATCAATTCCGTGAGTTTTCTTCTCTATGCGAAGAAAAGTTCGTGGAAACCTTTAGGAATGATGCTAGTTTGTTCTATTTAAAAAAGTTGAAATTTAAAATGGGAGCGGAGATTTTAAAACTTCGCAGACAAGTACGTGGTTCGACAGTTTCACTTTACTAATTGCATTGGATTTAGCATGGAATACGATCGAAAATGCGAGGAACTCCAGAATCACTTGAAGGCTTGGATTGCTCCATGTATTTTTTCTCATATCAACCAAACTTTGGTAATATTCTTTTCTCTCAGTTTATAGTGGTTCATTGTAAAGTCAAAAGTTATCAAATATCAGGTTTTTCGTATAATACGCTTTTTGAACTTACAAAGCCGGAAAATATTTTGTCATTTTTGAGTTGAATTGTACATTTCTAGTCTATTGCCGCCTTGCTTTGCGCGATAAGGTTCGGTTCATTGAGACCGAGAGATAATCGGATACCTCCGACTAAAAATCAGATCCTGCGGTTAAAAAATCAGATCCTCTGATTGAAAATCAGTGATCAACTTCATCTGTACCCGAACACGAGTGCTTCGTTCAACGATGAAGATTCGGGTCTTCTCGTTAGGATATCGACTGGCGGCAGCCAAGCCGAGCATACATTGGGGGAGGAGGCACTGCGGGCCCCGCGGCTAGAAATTTCATTTTCAAAACTGAAGTTGGAGCACATCTGAAAGTGGCCGGATTGTCTCGGTCGGTGATGAGGCATAAAAAGGGAAAAGGAAAAACCTCGGAATGGTAAACAATAAGTCATGGGCGTTATTAATAACTGAGAGGCTCGCGGGTATTTGCTCGGATGTTTGGTTAAAATGCACCGAGCCCGGCCGAGAGTCCAAGCTGTTGAAGACCCGAGGTCCAAGCTCTGTCTTTCGATTCGTGAAATATGGTGCTCCATGAAATATGAATTATACTCACTTGCTCTAATCATCTCCTCGATTTATGACCTCACCCCACGGCGCTCCGCTTCCATCTCACCTAGACTCCTACCCTCGACGCCAGATTTACGCTGAAATCCCGGGATTCCCATGAGAGAAAATTCTATTTGAATCAAAAGAAATTCCCATCGATTTTTTTCACAAAAGAATACCAGTTCTTTCAAGAAAGACTTTTTGAGTCAACCGGGGTGGATAATTTGTGAGAGTTTAAACATTTAAAAATTGTACTTGTAAATCGAAACAACCGATTGTAAGTGGGCTGCGAAAAATTATACCCTCCGTAAAAAAAAAAAAAAAAAAAAAAAAAAAAAAAAAAAAAAAAAAATTGAGAGGAGCAATAAAATCTCCTCCAGTACATGTGCTTCGAGAAGAAATGACGTTTTATGGCACACAGCTGTATATTCTCTCACTTTTAAAAATATTTTTTTCCAATTTATCATATCAAAAATTGTTGTAAAAAATACTGTTAGTTACATTCATCAAGCATTTTCATACCCAGCGATACATTTTTCCCACGCAACTGGAATCTCGATAGCGGAATCTATAACGGAAAGGAGAAGAAAGAAACGGATAATTTCTAAAATTCCATTTTTATTACTTTTTTCCTTGGTAAAATTTGAAAAAAAAAGCTGATTTTGACCTTGAGTATACTCAAAAACACTGCTTGTTCATGGAAAAGCCAACGCGAAAAAACACAAGAAAATGCATTCTTTCACATATTTAATGTTTTTAAGAAAAATTTGTATAGGGAAATGCATGTTGTACTCCTAAAGTACCGTAAATTTGGCAACAAGTTAACAGGAGAGCAGTCCACTCGCCACCACCCGCCAAAGCACCTTCACACAGGGCCCATTCGCTAACTGTGGATGAATTACTACGACCATCAGCACCTATTCTCCAATACGAATTCGCCGTATAAATTATGGGTTAATCGCTTGCTCAGAATGAAATAGGCATCGAGAAAAGGCGAATGAAGTTCGGCGTGGCTTAACTTTTGTCTGGCCCTCAGTATTATACGATTGAGTTGAATTACGCGATTTTGATTGTCCATAGAGACAAAAATACCTTAGTCTACGGAGCAAACAGCAAAGTTTTCGAGAGGGCAATTTTTGTCGAAGGTCAAAACCAGTTTTGCACGGAGAAGAAAACTTTATGCGTGGGATCCGAAGTTGAGGTGATGTGGATTTCTGAATTTTGAAGTTTTCGGATCAATCGCGCATTTGAGGCCCGAAAATTTGAGGCCTAGCTGCCGAAGTTCGGATCACACATCTGGAGTACTTCAAAATGTGTGACCCTAACTTCAGCAGCTGGGCCTCAAGTTTTTGGATGCACAATCCGAAAGCTTTAGAGATCCGTATGACATGAATTTTGGATCGCACGCATCAAGTTCATTTCTCCGTTTGAGATTTTGATGGACAGCTTCTTTAGTGCCCTAATATCAAATGGCTTACATGTTACAATAAGAAACAATTAATTTTGGGCCATACATAAAATCAACTATCTGCATAAAGAAACTACTGGCACATATTTATGTTGTATCTAAAATGAACCAAAAAGGTAGCTCCTTATTTCAAAATGTAGCCCGAACTGCGAGCGGTTTAGTTCATTTTTTTAGCAACAGAAGGCGTGAAATTGCATTTTGATCTGGAAATCCTGCACCTTGTACCTATCAGAGTAGAATCTTAACAAATTTTTCTCAAAAGTACCCTTTGTTTTAATCGCAAACATTTAACTAGCATGATTCGGGCTCAGCATACCAAATAGACTACAAAATGTGGCTAGAAAGAACATGTGGGCACATTAGTTTTCCTATGCAGATAGGTATGTTTATGATTAAGCCCGAAATTGTGATATGAAACACCAAGCTAAGGTTCATAAGATTGAATTTTTTTTCTCAGGGTACCATTCCAGTTTTGGACTATAATGTCTAAGTTATCCCTGCTCTCACTTTATCGTCCCTTCTTTTCAATTTCCGGAATTCAAAACTCACTGATTAAAAAAGCAAGGCCCTGAGCGGTGCAAATATGATAGCCAGTATAATCTTCATGGGAATAAACATAAATCATAAGCCGTTTACTTGGCTAGGACTCCTCGGCAAGCTGCGCTCCATACAATCCACACCATAAACCATTCACAACACATAGATCATTCGCTCTGCATCGCTATTTCGAACTGTAACCCCGTCCGCAGATATCAACCCGCCAGACCGCGTTATCAGAATAAATTACTTCCTCCGTAATTTAGCGATAAATCAATCAACTTTATTCGGAGATGCGTTCTCGGCGAGAGACATATATTATCTAAACATAGCTTATTCCGTTTTTGTTTCCATCTGCGGAAATTGCGCAGGTCCGAATGGGTAGAGGTAGTTTTGTTTCAAATTCAAAAAAGCAATTCGTCCTTATGGTTTGAGTTAATTCAGGCAATAATATAACCTTTCCCTTCCTCAAGTAAATTCTAAAGCTCAATCTTAGAATTGAAAAAAATAGGGAAGGAAGGAAAAGAGACTGCGGTTTCCCAATATTGTATCGAGGTGAATAAAATTTTGAATAATTTGAAATTTTGTTCGTCATTACATTAATTTTGGGTGAAATTTAAAAAATTATTTTTCATGTTCCTTAGAATTTCCTATCGATGGAGAAAATATTACTTCGTTCAGTCCTCGTTGTTAAAAAATAAGAAAAAAACATTCTGCAGTACAATTTTTACAGTCACTAGGTACTCCCCCCCCCCCAAAAAAAAAACAAAAAAAAACCACCAAACTAATGGACTGAGCAATATTTTTGACGAGAAGCTCAATTTAATAAACGTTTTCCGTAAATTGCTCGACACATCTATTACTCTATTGATGGTGTACTTTTGGTCACGATATCGTCTATGAGAGATTCCTTGCAGCGTATAGTTGTTGCTCATACTTCGGTTTTTAGTTTAAGTACTCTAAAAAAAGTGTCCTTGCTCGCGATGATGTGAAGGATAATGATGTTTAAATTGACACTTTTCGTTCAAACGTCTTCCTCATTCGCGTAAATCTTTACTTTTGAACAAGGCGAATGGACGAATTGGTTCCTACCTGAGGATTCGTCCTTGTTTGCATCAATATCGGTCAATTTCACGAGTAGTCGATCAATTTCTTGACCAATGGACCGTGCATTAGAAGGAGAGAAGGAAATTCTACGGATCAACTTGAAAGACTGAGCGAAAGAACCGAGTCAAATTTCGGCCAGGTATTTGTACAAGTAGCACCCTCCTCTCCATTCCTCCCGTCCGATACGTTCATAATCCTTCGTAAAGTCGGATCCATGGGAACCAACGCCGCGCGTGAGAATACCACGAAAACCCGATTTTTAAACTAAAAAAAATCCGGAGAGTGTTAGATCGACAAGCAGGTTAGTCATCGTCCAAATATCTCCAAATTCCTCTCCTGCCAGAATTTTTCCCTGCTCTCGGAATCCTCGCGACCATTTTCGTTTCGTAATAGTTTCCTCGACCGGGTCGCAGCGACCTTCAACCGTAAAAATGTCTCGGATTCCACGATGGAGAAGGAGAAAATCGTACCTGTAAAACCCTCTTGGGGAGTCCAGTCTTTTGTGAAAGTTGCTTGAGGTCCTTCGCGTCTGGGTTGTGGTTGATGGCGAAGTACGATTTCATTGTCCTAAGTTGATGATGTTTAAATGAAGTCCTCATTCTCTTCGTTCTTTGGTGGTGGCTTCCGTTGGCGCCTAAACTCGGCGTCCCCGGACAGAAAGCGACATCTAGATAGGTTTCCGTATTTAAATCTGAAACAAGATAACACAATGTTGAATTAAAAATACTAATAAAGGCTAGATTTGCTCAATTAATTGTTCAAAATAGTTTAAATAGAACCAAAACAATGGAACACTGATCAATATGCAAAATGTATCGTATATGTTTAATGTTTTTTCATCAAGATTTCACGTATAACATGATTTATTGATTTATACAACGAATATTTCTGTGAGTAACTCCTTGCCATGCATAGATTCAAAATTTCGACTCACAGAAAAAACCATGGCCTACTTCAGTTAAATTTCACACAAAACATTATCTTCACAGTCTCTGGCAAAACATACCTCTTTAGCAAAACGGCAACCAGGTTCTCCTTCAGTTTTTAGAATATGCAATTTTACCTACTCAGGAGCACGAATAGTTGTATCGCGTGTTTCGCACTAGGCAATTTTTCTACTCTTGCGTTAAAGTCTTTGAGTCAGCAGAATTCTCCTTCACTTTTTAGGATATGCAATTTTATCTATTCGGGAGTATGAATAGTTGTATCGCGTATTTTGCACTAGGCAACTTTTCTACTGCTGCGTTAAAGTCTTTGAGTCAGCGGAAAAGCAACCGATTCTCCTTTCTTCATGTGGATATGCAATTTTATCTTCTTCGAAGTCGAAATAGTTGTATTGCACGTTTCGCCCCAACTATCTTCTTACATTTTAATAATACAAATTTAGAGCCAGAAATTAACAAAATTTGCAAGCAGAATCGAATTCTAATTCAAAGAAAAATGTTAATTCGAAATAAAATATGAGTTTTTTTACAGTGAATTTGCACAATACTATAAAACGAAGCAAATCTACGCAATCTTTTTGTCGGAAAAAGACCTATCAACGTTTTTAAATCAGCTCTGCCTTTCAAGTCTTTCTTTGAAGTCTACTTCAGATTTATGTCTGATTTTTCTCGCCTAATGCTTGGCTTAACTTTTAGCTTACATATTATCAAGTCCTAATCCCCAGGCCTGGATGTTATGATGAACGATTAGATAGTTAAAATTTTACCCCTTGATTAGGGATCGCCATGACCAATCAATTTTCACCGTGTCATTTTTTTAAATTCATACACCCCCCTTGAGACTAGCCCGGTTATTCGGGGAAATATATACGCACATCTGATTTTCGATAAGATCTCCTACAGAGGGGGCCCGAGACAATACTGCCACGCTATGGAAGAACGCCGTATGAGTCATCAAACGTTGCCAAATTTCCTCTCGGAAAATATTATTTTTGAAGAAAGTCACGAATATTTCCCCTTAAAATTTGCAGAAATTCCAGATCAAACTATGAACCTAATTCCTGAAAAATTGGGGGAAAAATCTTATAAATTTGTCTAAAAATTCGTAATTTGCGAGGGGAAATTTGGCAACGTCCGAAAGCTCATACAGCGTTTCTCCTTATCACGGCAGAATATCAATTCGCAAATCCCGCGGGTGGATCAGGTGCGCGCGGGATGAAAAACCGAGGGTCAATAACAAAAGCGGAAAAATAAACACGCCGCGAAGGAGGGACGGCGTTGTGAAAAAGTTCTCGAAACTTAAGTTACAAATTATGACATCAATATTTTGAGTCGGCGGGGCGCGGGGCGTGGGGCGAAGGGTTGTTCGGAGGGATGAAGTTGTAATCGGAACCGGAGATTTGCCGAGCGAGGAGCGCGGGTAAGCTGATTTCGGAAAAGGGATCATCATTCGAGGAGCTCAAGTGTTTTCGGAGGGGTCTTTTGATTTATTAAACTTCGCGCTTTCGCAAGGGAGTGCGCGCGGCGCGGCGCGGCGCATCCCTTCGGAGAACTCGACCCGGAGGAAATCCTCCCGTGCGCCTTATTATTTCCAGCTTTGTCTGTCGGCCGAGCTCCTGGAGACGTCATTTTAAGGCGAATTACACCGAGTAAATCTTTTCCGGACTGACTCGACCGCCGCTAAAACAAATGTCAGGGAAAAAGCCCAAGATAAGGGCCATTTCATTTGGAGAGAAGGAAAGAGATATAGCGTAAGAGGGATTAACCGGTTCTTTTTCATCCTCCTCTCCCTCTCCCTCCCCCCCCTCCCCTTCTCCCTCCTCCTTTTTCCGCTTTTTGGCTTTCGCATAGACATTGTTGAAAAACGCGTGTATTTCATGGACGAAAAATTATTTGAACAAATCTGACGAGATATACAAATTAGAAAACTCAATTTGATTAAACACGTAAATGTGCTATAACTCGCACTTTTACGAGCTTTTTCTTTCTTCATTGTTAGATATTATAATAAATGGTAACTTACAATTTATAACGAACTTACTATTTTAGTTAAAACTTTTTGGATACTGACTTTTTTTCTTGTTTTAGCTGTTTATTTTGTAAATGCACTCGTATAAAGAAGATTTTTCAATTCAATAAAATTCCGATGGAAATTTTTTTCTTCAGAACTATTTAACACTTTTACGAAACTTTTCAAGTACGTGAAAACTTTCCAAAAGGACTTCCTATACGTCGTATATTTCATTTCATACATTAATTTATTTTTTGTTTCTCCTAAAGTTAGCATTAGCGCTCTTCTTTTTCCTCATTTCGTTTTCTGAATTCCACACACCGCCATCTGACTTGCTATTTTAACAAAACTTTTCTGTAAATGAGGCGACCAGGCTCAAAGCTCACCGGTTTATATTTTCTTAAACATAAACTGAAAAAAACTCAAACTCTGAAAATTCAAGAGAATTACTACAAACATTATGCATAGGACTAAAAATAACCGGCAGCTTGAAGGTTTCGGCGCATTTTTCAAGACGTCTCATACTAGCCACTAATCTCGGTACTGAAAACGAGGAAAAAGAGATAAGTCGTTGACTGACCGGATTCTAAGTCTTGCTGCTTTTATTATGTCTTCATTCCTTGCTCCAGTGACAATCTCCGTATAGGTTATCAACGACCTGGGCTGGAGTGGAGAAAATGTTGACTGGGGTAGATAGTGATTTGGATTAAGAGAGAATGATGAGAAAAAAAACGTAGCTCTCCGGTAATATCGAGTTCAAGACCGTGATCACGGTGATAACCTATAAAGATTGAATTTGAACTTCCCTCTTTAAAAAAAACATTATCAACACGTCACATTTCAAACACTGTGACAATTTTCGAACGATAAATACTGAACATAAATGGGTGGTGTAAAATCGTGGTATTTCGAGGGACTTTAGAGTGAGATTACCTTCATTATAAGAACGCGGTAACTTTTATTCTTATTTTTGATTCTTTATGCACCTGCCGCATGGTAGAAAGACCCTTCAGGAGAGGTAAGACATGAAAGTTTAGACTAAAACTGCAAATTTTGATGTTTAACCCATCACATTTTAAATTTTAAGGAGTGCTTCCTCAGAAAATTTCACGAAAAAACCAATAGGACCACTTTTAAAGTCTCAAAGTTTGTATAAATGGAGTTATAAGCTTTTAAAGTTTCCAAGTTTCGTCCTACCTCTCCCATTGACTCGATTCACTAGATGCCGTTGCGTCATTGACTCCTCGCGTGGAACGTAAAGACAATAAGGCTCAGTAGCTGGGTTATACAAAGGAAATGAAAAGTACGAAAAATTGGATATTCCCGTAAAATATTTTATGAAATTTTCACAAAGTCTTGCAAAATATGAGACACATTTTAAGGGGCTGGGGAAGTATCACTACAAACACCATAAAGAAAAAACCACCTGCCTTCCATCTAATTTTGCATTTAATGTTAAAAAACATCTTTCGCATTTTCCTGAAATTTCATGAAATCTTCACAAGAAGTTCCAATATTTTATTTTCCATGAAAAATTGCAACCCTGCTCAGCGGCCTGATTCGATTTCGTTCTACTTTTCTCCGAAATTCGGCGTCAATAGATCGGAGCCATTAGAGCAGTCCATCACCGATTGACACGAATGTGTGACCGGATATTTTGGAAGGGTACGGGCCCGCTGAATAATTCACAGCCACTACAGATGATGATATTTAGCGGCAATAAATCCTCCCAGGTAAGACCATCCCCGGCCGCGGGAACGGAAAGCGCCGACAGGGACAACGGAAGGAGCCCGCTCGACGGGTTACATAAAGTCGAAGGGGCAATAAAGAAAACACGAGTGGTTCGGGCCTTTCGTGTAAAACATAAAAAATACTGGTTGCAGAGGTGCAATGGATTTTATATACAGCTCTGTGATAGTTGTAAAATAATTCAGAGCACCTTCGCCGAGGCGGCCCCTTTAGCTTTTATTGATTCAAACGCGCCGCGCGCACCTTGCCACCTCCGAGCGAAAACCACTTAACTGAAAGTGGATCCAGCGTGCGGATAGGCGGTTTTCGCGAGGCGCTATCGTGCGGCATCCCGCTAGGTTCTCCCGAGAGGATCGACCGAATTTTATTGGCCGCGGTCGGCATGGCGGTCGGGCGGCCGCGAAAACCGCGCTCGGGCCGCGGTAGGGACGCCGCACAGTGGTTCGAGTCAATCAGAGAGGTCGGACGAGAAATTGTTGACTAAAACTGTAAATTTCGATGTTTATTTTATCCCAGTTTAAGTTAAAAGGGTGCTTTTCAATGAAAATTTTACGGGGAAACCAATGGAGCCACTTTTAGAGCCTCAAAACGTTGTAAAAACTTAATTTTTATGGACATGTTATGAATATTTCCTCTTGAAATTTTCTGATGATTTAAATGTTATTGCAATTAAAATTTACTGAAAACTGAAGACACAATATTCCCAGGTTTCCCCAAAAACTCGCACTTTATCAAAGGAAAATTAACAACTTCTGAAGCCTGACACGGCGCACAGTGGATCGAGTCGATGCGAGAGGTTGGGCATATGATTTTTTTACTAAAACTGCAAAAGATGTTTAATTCGTCACATTTTAAATTTTAAGGGGTGGTTCTAGAAGAAAATTTGACTAGAAAACCAATGTAACCATTTTCAAAACCTCAAAACTTTGTAAAAACGGAGTTATAAGCGTTTAAAGTTTCCGAATTTTGTCCGACCTCTCCTATCGA